GATGAAGCACTGCGTAGAGTAAACAGGGGAAATAGCAGATGAAAGCAGTAAATATGTTGAGGGATTTTCTGCAAGTGATTGGCTGTCTTTATGGTCTCAGGTTTTTATAATCCCATCCTGTGATGCTCTAATCTCCCTTTTCTTTAGTACAGAGTAAATACCCTCATTACATGGGGCAAAGCTGGAGACTTGTTATAAAAAAGGAAATGAAGAGGCAAGAGAAACCTTTTATTAAATACTCGCCTTCCTATACGTACCCTGTCAGGCCACTGGCGCCCACACGATTACCATAAAGATAATCTCGCCAACGTGCGTGGGACCTAAAAGCTCATTGAAGATACTTGAGCACTTGTGAAGCGGCAAAGCAAACAATGGTGGTGTTGGATTTCCTCACCCTGTCTTCCTGTCAAGATGTTTTTTTGCTGTGTGCTATAATTAAATGGGAGAATTAGAAGTGATTGTGCATTTCATCAATTCTGGAATTCAGGTCGGTTGTTATGTTTTCTTTAAAAAAACTCTTTATAACAAACCAATTCCTGTTTATAAGATGAAGGGTGCAGGACCTTGCTGATGGGCACATCTGATTTGCATGTTTCATTTCACATCTCTGCATATACTGTAACAGGAATTGTGAGTGTTAAAGCGCAGCACCTGCGGCCCCAAATGCATGCAGATGAGAGGTTATATTATAATATTAGCATGATTATTGATTTCCCTCCTTCTATCCATAGTAGATGGTTGAACTGCAGCACATTTGTTCGAGGTTGAAACTGTTCATAGATATAAAGCACTTTCTTTCCATTAATCATTGTTTAGTATAGCTGTGCAATACATTCATATTATAGTAATCATTCAGTATTATATTTGTTAGGCATGATATCAATAAACACTTTGACTGGAGTCGTTTATTCATACCTTTTGTTTAATAGCAGTGGAATACAGCATCCCTGTTATTATTCCTTTCTACAAGAAAGCTCTGCTAAATGCTTGGTTAATTTTTGCTCCTATGTGGATCTTACAAATATTAGCTTTAGCAGTGGTTCAGTCCGTAGGGCAGGGGTATTCAACTAAAATTCAACGAGGTCCAGTTAGAGAAAATCTCCCCATGCAAAGGTCCGGAACATCAAAATGTCTAACTTGCTTTATGAATTAGCGTGATATATATTGAAGTAGCTGTAGCTTTATCAACGTCTGCATGTAATCAACAACTGACTGCCAATCGAATAAAGAAAGTACAATTCAAAAACAACAATATTTATTGTCAATTAACATTGAACTATACAGATATACACTAAAATACTGTGGATATGTGTAATGTTCCTCTCGGGCTGCATTTAAAAATAAAATAGAGAAAATAAATAAAATAGCTTTTGAAAATATGTGCATCCTAAAAGTGCTTAATTTTAGATACATAAAATAAAGTGTAGCAGCAGTTTGAGTTTCTCTTTTTCTTTGTTAACCGTTTCACATCATGACTTAACAGTTTCAGACGATTATAGAACAATATCAGTCTTTACACATCATAACAATTGAACAGTTTTAAAGTTTCTCTTTCTTTCCCTCTTATATTGCAGTCCCTCACTCACTTTTTTTAAATTCAGTGCGAGAATTGAGCTGGAGCTTGTCCTGCCAGGATTTTAAATCTGGGCTGAAATGGTGTCAGGGCCATTCTCATTCACACATGCAGGTGCTCATTGGTTAGCCTCGGTTAGCCTGCCCTGGAACGATATTTGGTTTTAATTTTGATCCTGGTGGACTGATCATATCGGGCTCTGATATTTATTTGTTGTGACCTCAGTTCTGACTTGAGAGGGAATGTTTGGTCCAACACTTTGTGTTTTGTCTCATAATGGCGTTTTGGCACTTTTAATGTGCGCCACGGTCTCTGAACACACCTGGCTCTGTGCTCCCAGTGGGCAGGATGAACATGAATGAGTCCACTCAGGGTTAAAAGTTCTGTTCTCACTGTCCACTTTTCCTCTTCTTGGAGAGCGCCATATGTAATTATTTGTCTCTCCCTGTCTGCCGCTAACACGCCTGTTCACTCTCCTCTCCGCTTCTCTCCCTGTATCGCTAATTATTCTCTTCACACTTTCCTCTCCGCTTCTCTCTGCAGCGCTCTCGTCTCATCTTCTGTGTTTCTCTCCCTGTATCGCTCACTCGTCTCTTTCGCCCCCTGTCGGCGGCGGTTAAAATAGAATCGCCCCGTCAAAATTGAAATCCCCTATTAATGTATTGATTATAGGTCCGGGTCCGAATAGGTCGGCATCTGGGTCCGGATCCGGACCGTGGTCCGCCTGTTGCCGACCCGTGCTGTAGGGGATTGGACTTTGGACCGAAGGGTCGCTGGTTCACGTCCCGATCGGACCAAAAAAAATATGGAGTGTGGACTGGTACTGGAGAGGAGCCAGTTCACCGCCTGGGCCACTGCCGAAGTGCCCTTGAGCAAGGCACCTAACCCCCAACTGCTCACTGGCACCGCTCTGACCTCTCAACTGCATGTGCATGTGTGCATATAACTGTGTGTATTTGTATATGTATGTGCATGTTGTAAAAAGTATGAACTGTGTGTACTGTATTAGCTGTATAAAAAACGCATGTGTGTGTACGACAGAGTGGAATTTCCCCCTTCAGGGATTAGTAAAGGTCCATCTTCTTCTTCTTCTTCTTTACTTTTTATGTTTGACATTGAACAATTATGTAATATCTCTACCAGAAAAAAGTGGAGAAGATGGCCCCTAAATCCTGACTGTATTGACACCCAAGACTTGCTCTTTTCTCCCAATGTTTGCCGTTAAATGATGGGCTGGATGGACATAGTGACTGTATTGTTTTCCAACATGATGTCATGACTTGTGATGTCCTTTTTTACATTAAAACTTGGCTGGAACCTGAAGTGGCCGACAATACCACTTGGCCTTCTGCTGTTTGCTTATCTGAAAGAGGTGGAGGCGTGTTATTTAAGGTAAATAATGCACACATTCAAGAAGCTGACAGCATTGCATTTCCCTTGAGTAGAACCTTGTATTATTTCATGTGACACATTGATTGCTTTTTGAATATGTTGATAGAGAATTAAATTTGTTAATATACTTCTTTATTTATTTTTGAAATATTTTTAAGCTTTCGGGCCCACAACATCACAGTTTTTTTTCACTCTCACTGCTCTCATATTGTTTTCATTACCTGCTCATTAAACAGCAGACAGACTCGGTTAACTACTAGCTTCCTTATAGTTAGCTCTTTATCTGCTAAAGAACCAGGTACGAGACCTAGAACAGAGCATAAACCGAGTAAATACTGGACTTTGTCATATCAACTTAAACGGTTTGTGCAGTGTTTTCTGCTGCCCTCCAGGTATCAAGAGTAGCTTGGTCTCCTAAACATACCAACAACAATGTTAGACATGTCTTTGAAGCAAGCAAATATTGCCGTATATCCCGAATAATTGTAAGATATGTTTATGTAAAACATGTTGAATAAGAACATGGCAAGTCTTACATGTTCTGTAACAATTGGTTAATACAGCCCAAATAATGTATTGCATTGGAAATGTGCAGAGTTACAACCCTGTCTCCTAAAAATTACGTTCCCACAGAACTAAACTGCATTCTCAAATACGTTTAGCTAGAAACGTATTTTCTCCCACGTTACGTTCGTTATGAACGTATCTTAAATACTTTTATTTTCTACATACTGTATCTTTGCCATTTATTGTCTTGCTTATGAAAATGATAATAGTCATTTATAAATATCATTTTAGAGCACACATTTGAAATCAGTAGGCGAGGCTGTAATTTCACCAGCTGTTACTCTCATGAGCGAGGCAGAAAATAATACTTTTATCATGCCAAAAAGCTGCTGTGTCGTTTATTGCACCTCAAACATTAAAACAAATCCAGAGTTACGTGTCTCTGTACTTCCTCTAAGAAGAAAGGACAGTAACAGAAGATCTCTTTGGCTTCAGGCTTGATCGCCGTTCAAATGACAGCGTTGGTTTCCCCAAAAGTGGGAAGGGCTGTAAAGTGACGTAGATTTTACTCTCATATATTATTCAAAACCATTCTATTTCTAACGTAAATTACATGCGAGTGTTTTATCTTTTTATTGATTTGTTTTTATTTTAAATCGTATAATGTCGGACTGTTTTTGCCTTCTGTGAGGAAAAGAAATACTCAAAATACTGAAATCTGTATATTTTTTTCTAATGTGTTATTGTTTTCTTAATAACACACTGTTATTTACTCAACAATAACACACAATTATCCTTGTTTTATTTATTCGTTTACAGTTTTTCTCGATTGCTAACACACGTTTTTTTTTAATTGCTCAGTTTCTCAGAACACTAAACACAATTCACAAAACCACACACCCAAAGTGCAAAACACCTCATTTCTCCTGCTAAGTNGATACCTGTTCAGATAATTTCATTAAATTTTATTAATACATTTATATTTTGGTATAGGCTTTTCAAGGACTTCAAATCGCTTTACAATATTAAGGGAAAAAGGTTAGAAGTGGCGGGGTTAAGGACTTATCAACTTTGATGGCATGGATTGATGGGGGGGGTGGGGGGCTATGAGTAGACAAGAGGGAGAAGAGATGAGTTTTGAAAAGGGAATGGAATACTGAGAGGGTCTCAGAATAGCGGAGATCTTTGCATCAATATGTTGAAAACGTTTTTTTCAAAAAGTAAAAAAAAATGTCTAAAATAAATAGTGAAAAATTAAATATAAAATATTTATAGTGTGAATCAAAATATAATACTAAATATTATACTAGTGATTTTTCTTAACCAAAATGACAAAAATGGCATAAAAACAGTCCTTTTTGACCCACTTATGGAAGAGTGTAGGGTCCAGTCACTCGTGCATCTAAGGGTTAATGAATAAATGACCTTCTGATTGAGAACAGTAAGCACATAACCTATGAGACTGTCACATACTCAGGTTTTGTTTCGACAGTTTGACTTATAAATAACATATTGAGCCCTTGAACTAGTAAGAATAAAAATACATAATGAAAGAAAGACTTACTGGTGATCCTTCTTGATGTGGCAGACGTAGTGGCCGCACATTGTGCTCGTCCCCATGTGACTGATGAACGCAAACAGCTCGTACTCTGGAGAAAGGAGAGAAGCCATTAGATCAATCGCAGTTACACCATGTACATAAGATATATTTTTAAATATGAAATGAAATAATAGCGGATGACAGAACACAGGTCTTTAAATATAGGATGATTGTGTCGCTGCTGTCTACATTTCAGGTTTGTGAACACAACAGAGTGGTGCAGGAATGAGTCTGAAAACCCGGATATGAGTTAGCATTTTAGCACTTCTGGTCCAAAGCTTAAGAAAGGTGGTTGCTAACAAGGGTCTAAATGAGACTACCAAACGTCATCACGATGAACATTAGCAGCCTTTAGCTTAGCGGTGGTGACGTGAAGTCAGGTGACTGTGATGTAGTTTGTTTGTAGCTTAGCTTTTTACTTCTGGCGAGTGCATCAATGCTTCAAAAATGTGGGGGAAATGGGAATGAATATTTGAAGATTGTCCTGCTGAACAAAACAAATAAGTATCATAAGTGTGTGTTTGCTACAGAGCTTTTTTCTGCCATATCTGAAAGTTAAATGGAAAAATTCCTATTTGTGAAAGTGGGCCCTTGTGATGCTTGTTGGGGAAATATTGTCCTGGACCCATACTGTTGACCCAGCTTATCAGTCTGTACTGCCCTCACTGAGCTCAGGCACCCGCAACCGTGGGCTGCTGTGATCTCAGTGTTTAGTCTCCCTGTTCCTGCCTGTTGGCGTCAGCTGATAGAGGTGTTATAGTGCGTGGCCTGTTTTATCTTGTTATGCACTAAGTTGATTATTCTCTCCGAACTAGCTAAATGCATGGGTCTGGGGTAGAGATCTTCAGAATTGGTTTTGGCAACCGCTGTGTCAACTCGTGGCTCACGACATGTCTTGTGAATTAATTCAATGTAATGCCTCCTCTGACGGGACTCACTTCCTGGTCCGTCTTTGACCCGGGGGCCAGGTGGGGGGGGCTCCCTGCCGCCCTCGCTCTCTGCCGCTGAGCGACCGCCTTCAGACACGTCCATCGACTCCAGGTCGTCCAGGTGGGAGAAGATCCAGTCCACCGCCCGGTCCAGGACATTACTCTGTCAAACAAGAGGAGGAGACGTCATCAAGAATGTCAATAACTAAAGCTAGGGCTGCTCAATTAATCGTATTTTAAATCGCGATTTCGATTATGGCTTGCAACGATTACAAAAACAACGTAATCGAAATAAAACGATGATTTTTTTTTGACTTTTTTTTTTTTTTGAGGGTTTTTCAGTTGAATTATACTTAAAGTTCAGGGTAATCAACTGTTAAAAACATACTGTTAAAAAAAAAATTCTCCAATAAATGGATGTTTTCAAAGTCAATGAATAATCGCATTTAATAATCGCAATTACAATTATTGACTCAAATAATCGAGATTATGATTTTTGCCATAATCGAGCAGCCCTAACTTGAGCTTTTGGTCGAAAAATAAGCTCCTATCTTCTCTTCTCTTCCCTTCTGGAGAAAGTTTGGATGATACCGAACAAGTTAGAGGAACCACGAGAGCTGATGCCGTTTCTTCACAGGCGGACAATAAGATTAGAAACACTGCGGTTACATCAGATGGATGACACTCATTTCCTACACGGCATTATGTGGTAGCTAATAGGCCTGAATTATTTAAATAAATACAATTTGAATTAAGTTCATTCTGACTTATATTGCAATTACAATATAATTTGGGACATCAGGGCGAATTATAGCTTTTACATCATTATCCTCGTTTCATTGTACTTAGTATAACATGATCATGGTGTGCTTCTTGATGTGTGTACCAAACTATTATGTTTTATAAAGTCTGTAAATTATAATTTCTTATCTGCAGCATCATAATATTTAATTTGAAACTGTATTACAAGCTTTTCGCCTTCAACATTTTAGTTTCAATGAGTTGATAATTTAATAACGCATTTTAAATTCTATTAGAGTCGACTTCTGTAAAGGAGCCACATGTTGGGTAATCTCATAATGATATAACTAGAATACTGAAAATGTAATTATATAATAAAAAGAGCTCGGATCTGCCTCAACATGACACAGGTACTGAGGCTAAATATGGCAACAAATACGTGTATCTCATCTCAGTAATTTAAAATGAGGGTCACACAAACCGCCATCGGCTGCTTTGTGTCCTCCTAATGTGTAATGGTGTGATAATGACAAAGTGGGAAAACATTTTTGAAATCTAGATCTCAACCTAACCCTAACTGTCGTTAAAAAAACGTCTTTAGTTGTTTCAGTTAGAGCGCACAGCAAATTACTAGTTATTATCCGGGTTTTTTCTGCAACTTTCATTCCTCTGCAGCGTGTTGTCCTGTGACACATTGTACTCGCATTTTGTAGTCTTTTTGCGTATTAGAAACGGAGTTTGCGACACTAAAACTGCAATATAATGTTTGTGTAGCAATAATATATATGTATGCCATATTTTTTAAATGTCTCCAGTACCGATAAAAAGACCCAGAACATCAGAGCTTAACGGTACCACGGTCTTTAATAATTCAGCCACGGGGCCCGTTTAATACCGGGGCTCGGTACCCATCCCTAAACATGAGCGTCTGAATTTTACTGTATTTGTATTATTTAATTTTTTCTTTTATTTCAAATGTTTTTTTTAATGGTTTCATTTTTAACCTATTTTAATTTCTTGTCAGCTTTAATTCAAGGGAATTTCATTAGGATCACGGTAGGTGTTTTATCTTACCTCTTTTGTTCTGTAAAGCACTTTGGGCTGCTATTTATTGAATTTGTTTACTTTATTATTTGCCCCTTTTGTTTGTTCACCATGTCAAGTGGCCTTGGGTCCCTTGAAAGGCTTTATACAAATGTCATCTATTATTATTATTATTATTTGTGCATGAAATGTGCTCAACAAATAAAGTGTATGATTCTCACCGTGGCTCTGAGTGCTTTGGTGGCCTGTTCCCGGCTGAAGCCCATGGACACGATGGTGGCCAGGTGCTCCTCAGAGAGGCTCTCAGTGGGCGTGGTGCCGGAGCTGCAGCCCGGCATCACCAGGGGGGAGGCGAAGTCTGCAGCCAATCAGAGAGAGGACAACATGAGTGAGAGTAAAACAGCAATCTCTCCCACTTCCCACCAAGCCCCCAGGAAGTGCGCCGGACTCTGAGGAAAATATTCGTTGTGGCCAAGCGGCGGTACTACACTTCCGTATCAGTCGCTGGGCCCGGAAAGATTTTTTTCCCATTGACTAACATTGGGAAAGAGACGCCTGTAAATCGTTGGATAATTTTTTTTTAAACTAAATAAACTACCCAGTATGAACGTTTGTATAGCCGTTATTAAAAACATTCGGTCCTCAAGTTGTAAAATGTGCTAATAACGTTATTCTGAGAGTTATTTTCCTCGGCATTATGAACGCGGATCTAACCCACGGGACCGCGCCGCCCGGCACGTTCATGTGACGTGTTCAGTACGAGTTTAACCTTTACCCATGGATGCACAATAAGAATGGATTATATGAATACTTTCGTGATGTTTCGCTCTCTCAAAAGTTGGGCCATTTTGTCTTCCTGCGCCAATGGGCAACTCTCATAGGAATGAACGAGGCCCCGCCTCCCACGCTGTATCCGGTTCTTATTATACATCCATTCTTCCCACACACGAGATATTGTTTGTTTGTTTCGGTACATTAGTCGATGATGGAGACAGTTACGTCACATAAAATAAACAACTTAAACTCATAATTTCTCTGCAGTGCAGCGGTCAAAAAACCGTATGGCTTCACAACTAAAATGAACGCAGAGTATCGTCAGCAGGACTCTTTTGTACCAGCTGAGGCAATCACAGCGTCTATCAATATGTTACGCATGATTAAAGGATTAAGACTGATGGATGACTTCTTTTCATGCGAGTTCTCTCTGCTCACCTGCGTCATCCATGTGGCCCATGATCCAGTTCATGGCAGCATCGATCCCAGTGTTCCCAGTGTAGTACACCGCCTTCCTGCACGCCTCCAGGGGGAATCCCATCTCACAAAGCTGGGACACAGTGGAGTCGTCGAGCACTGGAGCTGGATGTGTGGAGAGGGAAAAGTTAAATGACTTTTTGAAGAAACACTGATGTGAAATCATTGTTGTTCTGTGTTTCCTTAATAAATGGCAATAGACAACTTTCCTACTGTTTCACAAAAACGACTTGATCGCTTTTTGATTTACTCAAAGGCTACTAATGGCGACCAATTAAAAGCCTTATTCAGACTGTCAGGAAAAAGCAATGAAGTGTATTATACTGTAATTAATTCCCATTAGTTTCCACAGCTCTTTTACTAAGTGGACTCCCTCTCCTCGTGTGCTGCAACTACTTAGCTTTATGCAAATTAGTTTTCTAACGATTCTACCCAAATTCAAATGTAGTACGATGGCAACATTCGGAGTAGAGCTAGTCTCATTGGAATAGATATTGCAACACTGCACAGGATACACTGCATTTTGGTTTTTGCAGTAATTTGAGCGTTCATTTCCCTTTGAGATGAAATTGCTTAGTAAAAGTGAGGCTTACGGGGAAGCGATCTAAGCGCAGACGGTGCCATGATTTTATAACCACGCATCGTTTCCCAGTGGGAAGGGGCGTCTTGCCGTCATTTGACGCCCTTATTCAGCTCGGAGCGCCCTGGCCTGAACTCGAGCCGAGGGCGTCCAAACAAATAAATAATTTGAGAGAAGATCGAGTTTTTATCGCTTGAAATGACGAAAACAAAAAAGGACAAGGACGTCCCTCTGTTGGAGGGGCAAAGGAGTCTGGTGGGATTATTTTCACTGCCAGCAAAGCGTGTTCCTGTGAAGGAAAGTGTACTGCCGGCGAGCCTTGACGGGGGGGGGGGGTGCTAGTGGAGCATGCGCGTGAACTGCGAGCGCCGGAGCCTCGCATCGGCGAAACTGAGGCTCCGTGGTAAACTGTGGTAACATGAAGAGGCTCTTCTTAGTGAGCCGAGCCAAATGATCCGGCTCACTAAAAAGAGCCGGAATTCCCATCACTAATACGTAAAGAGATAGTAATCTATAAGGGACGGCTCAATTCAAAATTCAAGTCTCTTGACACGACGTGACGTGACACACCCCCCCTGCTCGCGGGTGGACGCCCTCTCAGCCCTGGTCTGGAGGTAACACTGGCAGTCAACATTTACTACATAATGATACAATAAAGCAAAACAACTTGTCTATTGCCACGTTAAAAAAAAAACGTTTCAAATGAGATACTGACAAAAGGCGAAATAATGAAATAATAAACAGAAAAATCAACTCATGTTCAACAAAATATAAATGAATGACTTTTAAATCACTTGACATGATGTGAAAATGAATAAATAGTTAGAAACCATGGAAACAGAAGGACGTGAGGAAACAGAAAAGGTGGAAACGAGGGAGGACAAATGAGAGATGAGGGGGGGGGGGGGAGAAGAGCCGAAAACGCCAGACAGACTAACACAGCAGTGGGGAGTAGAGAGAGTCGTCTTCCTCGTTGCCATGGAAACCCAGGATACCTTTAACCTCCACGTCTGGGGTCATGAGAGGGGGCGGGGCCACCTCAGGAAGAAGCTCCTCCCCCGGCTGCTGACCGGTGGCTCGCAGCGCGCTCAGGTCCAGAGTGTCGGGAACGTCGATGCTCACGTCTGTATAGAAAGAAAACAAAAACAACACATTAATAACCCATCATTCACTTTAGAGCAAATGCTTGGTTAACACACTTTAATATCATAATTATGTTATACAACTGGGTGAGAAATGTTCAAATGTAATCAAATGTCCTCTGAGATGCTGTTGCTTGTTACTGTTCGCCCATAGCGGAATCGAATCAACATTAAAATACAACTTTTACATTTTTTGAATGTCTCATAATTAGGTATTTCCGCACATTTGCAGGTAAAGATTAGGCAGCACTAATGTCATTAATAATATACCAGAATTAGATTAGTGTGTTGGCTGCATAGGATTGTTTCTGCCTCATGAGATCAAACATTTCAAAAATAATTCTGTGTTGATTTAGAGCAGGGAAGGGCAAATGGCGGACCGATTTTTATTTTTATTTGTTTTACTTGTAGTACTAATATTATGTGATTTTGTTCGGCAGCCAAATACCGCGAAATAATCTGTGACGTGTTTGTGTGTATTGTGTTTGTTTCCCGGGGAAAACACTCACAAGAAACACCGGCTGTTGTTATGCCTGCTGGGACGTTAAGTTACTCCGTTCTCCGCTTGTAATTATGCCGTCACAAGTTTCAAAGTTGTATTTATCATCTGAATTTGCCGAAACAAGTTTAATATTCTAAAAGCCAAGACTTTGTTTAATTGAAATCAGATGAAAACAAACTGTAACGGACCCTGCCGAGTTATCTATGATTACCAAACGCCTTGCATTCATAATGTGAGCCGGAGGGAGGGGCAGCGGCGCTGAGGAACAGCAGGGTGCGAGGGAGAGCTGTCTTCTTCCCTTTACAAGCTTCAAACATGTATTTATCGTGTGATGTTGGCAATAAAAGTTTCATATTCTAAAAGCCAAGACTTTGTTTATTTAACATTTTTAAAAACACCCGAACACTTCCTGGGGGCTTGCTTCACCCCTATGTCCAACTTTGGGTTGTAAGAAATGCAGGAGCAACAACCTGGAGATAAACAATCGCACTGCTTTTGATTTTCCACAAGACGGAAACACAGTTGTTCTTTGCTCCACCACACTAGCTATATACACTATAAACACAAGCTCATGAGAGGCAAAAGACACCGGTCGATCAGAAACAGAAAGTATTTTGCCACGCTATGAAAGACAACTGTATAAATTAAGGATGCCAGCAATTATTCGATTTTTCGTTACAGTCTCCATAATCGAATTTTTTTTTATAAAATTCGATTTTATTTATATATTTTTTTATTATTATTTCTTTTTTTACTGGCTTAGTCTCAACCAAAAATATATACTAATGCTAATAATAGTAATAGTATTATAGCGGCGAATAATCTATTAATATTCGCCAGGGCTGTCCGATTTTTTCGAATTTGCTCATGGTCAGTTTCTGGCATCCCTAGTATAAATAACAGTGAGCCTGTTCAACATTATTGCTGCATGAGTAACAGGAGTTTCAAACAAGTCCCTTCAGACAATATTATCTGCCAATGTGAGATAAGTGGATTTCCAATTCAGGATCTTCTGTGTAGAGAAAGAAAAACACTAATCGCTTGAACACAATCCTATAATAATAATATCTTTGCTCACCCAGTTTCTTGGGCACCCAGTCCAGGCCGAAGGTGAACTTCTTAATCTGGATGACCAGGTGATCGGGGAAAGAGGCGAAGCGGGTCGTTCTGACAAATGAGACGAAAGATGGCGTTAATCGAGGCATCTTAAAAGGTCACCTATTATCCACTTGTTCATGTCTCTTCTACATCAACATGTGTCCCCTCTGTGGAAAGAGACTCTGAAAGTTTCAGGAACAAAGATTCTCTCTCTTTTTGTCCTGATCCATTTCTATAAAAACCTGTCTGAAAATGAGCTGATCAGATTTTGGACACTTTATGATGTCATAACGATTTTTTGGCTTGTGTAACCATTAGCCAATCAGCAACCAAGGTAACCCCCCCCACCTGTTTGGTGTTTCAGCCAATCAGAGACAGGCTCTGGATATATCTGAGACCTATAATATATTGAGGAAAATTAGCATAATAGGTGACCTTTAAGATCTAACATCCCTTTCAGTGTGTGTGTGTCTCTTCATACTTGGTGGCAGTAGTCTTGGACTGCACGGCTGAGCTCCAGAAGTCTGTGAGCACCTCGGGTTCATTCAGCGCCGCCATGCAGGCTGTGAAGGGGATCTGAGCTCGCACTGTGGGGGCGGAGCTGTCCCCCTCCTCACGCCGGCGCTCTGCCTCCTGAAGCTCTTCTGTTGGACAAATATGCACAAGGTTGAGAAAAAAATCGCAGTTACACTAAAAATGCAACTGGGAGAAATAAAGTTGACAGATGTCCGTCATACCTCAAGAAATGAATGGCAATGATAACTTTGGTGTATGTTTTATCATAAATATTCAATGCTGAGCTATCTCTGTTCCTTTTTTATCTGGTTTGAGATGCCAAGAGACGAAAGTAATACAATAGGGGATTTTTTTTTACATGAGGGTTAGGGTGATGTTGGAAAAACAAGCTTTTTTTCCAGCAGTGAATTCCAATACATGAGAGTAACACATGCGTCACTTCCGGGCAAAAAGTACGGCCCCGCCCACTTTTGGGGGAAAACAAAGCTGTCATTTGAATGGCGGTCAATACAAATTCTGAAGTTTTTGCCAATCCGATCAGAAACTTAAGAAAACCATGGATTTTTGGATCTTCAAAGAGCCCGATTACAATGGCCAGACAGGCAAACAATTACATTCAATCATTGGAAATCGACGATCGGGCTCGATATATGGTTAAATATAGCAGTAGGCGATCGATTTCCATAGATGAGAGTAACATCTACGCCACTTTACGGCCCCGCCCACTTTTGGGGGAAACCAACGCTGTCATTTGAATGGCGATCGAGCCTGAAGCCAGAGATCTTCTGTTACTGTCCTTTGTTCTCAGAGGAAGTACAGAAACACTGAACTCTGGATTTGTTTTAATTTTTGAGGTGCACTAAACGACACAGCAGCTTTTTGGCATGATAAAACTATAATTTTCCAACTCGCTCATGACAGTAACAGCTGGCGAAAATTACAGCCTCGCGTACTGATTTTAATTTAACCATATATCGAGACCAATCGTCGATTTCCAATGATTGAATGTAATTGTTTGCCTGTCTGTCCATTTTGAAGATCCACAAATCCACGGTTTTCTTACATTTCTGATCGGATTGGCAAAAAAATCAGAATTTGTATTGACCGCCATTCAAATGACAGCGTTGTTTTCCCCCAAAAGTGGGCGGGGCCGTAATTTTCGCCCGGACGTAGGTGTTACTCTCATCTATTGTGAAAAACATTAACTCTAGCCGATGGACATTGTTTCCCCTCACCTGTGTTGGTGGCCTGCTCCATCTGCACTGGCAGTTGCACCATGTAATCCACCCTCTGTGTGTACTTGGCTTTCTGCGACTGCTGACACACAATCCTCTCCTCCACCAGGAACCTGAAGGCTTCAGACGGGTTGGACCCAGTGCGACAGTTCCTCTGTGGGGGAAAATAAATGCTCATGTCAGACAGAGAACAGCTGGTGACCATAAAAAAACAAGAAGCAGAGTGAGTGTTACTTTACCTCCACCATGTTTATGAAGTGCAATAAAAACTCCTGAGCATCCTGTTGCCGGTTGGTGGAGAACTCTGGGTGGCCTCGCCCAACGAGTGCTTTGAACATTCGAGGTGCTATGCCGATTTGGTCTCCCTGCAAACACAGATTAAACAGTTGGATGTGTCAAGGGGGAGGGCTTATACACCATGTAGACCAGGGGGGTCAAACTCAATTTCATCGCGGGCCACATCAGCATTATGGTTGCACTCAAAGGGCCGGCTGTAACTTCAAGACTATATAAAAATACATATATAAATATTTAATATATATAAAATAATGTATTATATTACATAATATAATATGTCTCTGGAACTTACTCCCACAACCCATCAGAGACTGCTCTGACCTCACCACCTTCAAAAAACTCACCTCTTCACTCTAGCTTTTAATGTGCAATTGTTTTTGTATTATTTGACTTTAACTATATGTATTTATTTGTTGTTCCTTTCTCTTCACTATATCTGTAAAGTGTCTTTGAGCACCTGTAAAAGCGCTAACAAATTAAATCTATTATTATTATTATTGCCTATGCATTGGATTATTATGGGATAGGGTAATAACTTAATAATTAACTACGTCTGAAAGCAGAAGTCTAGGGCAAATAATTGCAAATCTCTTAAATGAGAATGTCACAAAATGATTTAGAAAGAAAAGCCAAATTCTGGAAACAAAGTCAAAAAAAAAAGAAAAGTGAAATTTTGGGGGGGAAAAGTGACATTTTGAAAAATAAGTCAAATTCTGAGAAAAAAATGCTAATTCTAAGATAAAAGGCATATTTTTGAAGAAAAAAAAGCCAAAATTCTGAGAAAAAAAAAGTCAAATTTGAGATGCATTGTGGGAAATGCAGTTTATGGGCAACGCTTCTGTAAATCGGCATATAACCGTATAATAAACATGTTATATTCTTTAAAAGCTCTTGTGGGGCCACATGAAATGAAGTTACGGGCCGGATTTGGCCCCCGGGGCCTTGAGTTTGACACCCCTGATCTAGACAAAAGTATTGGGACGCTCCCCTTAATAATTGAATTCAGGTGTTTCATTCAGTCCCATTGCCACAGGTGTATACAATCAAGCACCTAGCCATGCAGTCTGCCTTTACAAAAAATGCCCAAAAAATGAGTCGTTCTAAAGAGCTCGGTGAATTTGTACGAGCTACTGTAATAGGATGCCACCGTTTCAACAAGTCAGCTTGTGACATTTCTTCTCTCCAACTTCATATTAATGCCTAAGAATTTGGAATGGGATGTCATGAAAGTTAGGTGTAATGTGTAGGTGGCACAATACTTTTGTCTATATAGTGTATCTAAGACCAAGCTAAGAAGTGTGAATCAGCTGTTTCTTCCTACCCTGGGTTCAGATGCACCAGTTTCATCTGCAGGGTCTGGTGCTGGTTTGGAATAGTCTCCTGACAACAGACCGTAGCCGAGCTTGGCTCTGTGGAAAAGAAAACAAAGCTGACAACACTGCACATCCAACCACACACACAGGAGGAGGATTTGGATAAAGGCCTACATGTATTTTTGGCTTTCAAATAGCTTGTTGGAATGACTAATCAGGAAGGAGATCTCTGTTGGGTGTAAATGTTTTTGGACAGCAACAAAACAAGAGATTGTTTGGCCAAAGAAAATAATTCAAATCTGACATATTTCTGTTTCAAAACACGAGATTATATTGTAAAATATAGTCTTATCATCTTATATCTGACAGTTGTGTCACGTTAAAACATAAGTGACAAGTCAAGTTGTTGTTTAGGACACACATGAGCAACACCAAATTAAGGAAGCATCTGTTTCCACAAAAAGAGACATAATGCTAAAATGACAAGTGGCCAAGTGTCAGTGTAAGTGTGACTAAACCCTTCTGATAGCAAAAGAGAGGGAGACGCATTTAAATATGGAGCTGCCTGGAAAGGAATCTGTCATCAGCTGTGTGTCTGACAACTGGCCCACTTTGAGTGTGTGTGTGTTTCAGTGGATGGCTCCTTTCATCCACTGTTACTAAGATGGTAGCTTTTTCAAGATATAATGGGAAAAAGGGTTTGATGAGTGTTTGACTGCATGTGCATAGAAATTGTTTTGAGTGAGAAGAGATTTGAAAAAGAACGCGCTTTGGAATTTGTCATTTTTGATCAAACGGGGTTCTTTTCTTTTCGAACAAACCACTGAAGCGGGCTTTGAGGCAACCAACAGTAACACAAGAGCTAGTTATAAAAGAGGCAGACACTCACACTTGGGTTTTGAAGTCCTGGGTGGGGTCGCTTGGGGCTTCATCAATGATCTTGTCGATGTTAGACACGTACCTGGAAGACGTGAGTTGAAGGATATGAAATGAATCTTTGCATTCAGTATTTTACACATATATCTGGACAGTGTTGTTAGAGGAATATTCAATCAATCGGGAATAATTATTACAACTCTATTGCTGTAATAGCCAGCTTTAAACATCGTTTTTCATATTATTTTCATTTAAAATTTGCCAAAATAATTCCATTGTCTTTTATAAGACAGCTGTTTTCCACACGAACAGCTGGGAGTAACAGGAGGATGGGGGCTTTGTGTAATAGAGGGCTCTCACTTTTGCTGGAAGTCTGGCACGGTGAAGAGCACTTGCATGACAGAGTTGAGGTAGCAGCTGTTGCCCAGATTCTTCATGCCAGTCACACCGGGGCCGAACAGGGGCCGCAGGGTGGTCCCCGACTCCTGGATCACCTCCCACTCCCCAACGCGCTGGTTCACAGCGATCTCCAGCTCTGTCATCGTCCGCTCAGTCTGAGGGCAGACGAGTCAACGTGATTACAGGATGAAGGATGAAGGGGACAAGCAGGGCTCATTTTTTCTTAATGAAGAGTATGACTAAATACGTGGAGAGATGAGGATAAGACAGAACCAGTGTCATTAAATACTTACAGGGATCTTATCAAAATACAATATTGTTGACAAAAAAGGACTAGACTAAAATGTAGTTTAAAGGGGCCCTATTATGCTACGTTATTGGTTCATAATTGTATGTAGTGTCTCTAATGTGACAGGTCTCCATGCTTTAATGTTCAAAAAGCTCTTTATTTCTCTCATACTGCCTCATACTGTGCTGCAGCACCTCTCTTCACCCTCTGTCTGAAACCAGAGCCCAGTTTGCTCTGATTGGTTAGCTGGCCGGTTCTGTGTGACTGGTCAACCGCTTAGATATGTCCCGCCCCTTTGCGTAACGTACAATGTGTTGGAGCGCTAGCCAATAGAAGCGTGAGTGTTACGTAGTGGTGTCACTCTGTTACAGAAGTAAACAAAGGAGTCTAATCTAGGCGTTTTAGGCAGAGGGGGAAGTGTGTGAAAATCATATTCAGAAAAGCACAATAGGGCCCATTTAAGAACTGCAAATTCTAAAGGAGGTTGAACAAATGATAAGGATGTTTTGCACAGAACAAAGACTAAATAAAAAAGGCTTTTAACATCAACACTGGGTACAGGAGATAATTGCTTTGCAGCATACTCTAGGAAAGAAGACACTACAAAACTCATCACCAAGTGCTGCCTTTTGTCTTATGCTCTACTGTAGCGCAGTTACACCCCCTGTCTGTGCAACATCATTATGTGTGTGCAATACATTAGCAAGTCGTGAAACAACATTAAAGTACACAGTGAGAGGCACATTGCAGACAACTGTGTAATCTGCACTTTGTCTGAAGAGAAGCAGGTGGCAAATAAATGTATAACAGCAGGGAAACAGAGAAAACACAGGTGTGGAGGAAAGTAGGCGGATAGGATAATGGGTATGCATTCAAAGTAGGGCTGTCAAGTTAACGCCACTAATTATTTTAACGTGCGATTAACGCATGTGTATTTGTCCTCGGCCCGCCCCGTAGTTTCAGAGCCCAAAGGCTTGACGTTGTTGTTATTGTTAGTTGGATGGTGGGAGATTCTAGCGAGAGATATGATACAAAAAAAGCAGTTTTAAACAGCAAGCCAAGCACACAGCTGATGCTGACAGCCCCGCTCCTGCCGCTCGCTTGCGGCAGGCCACGCTCGAAAGTTTGCCGGGAGACGCCTGGACAACAACAGCGAAAGCTAAATGGGTGCTACAGCTTAACATAGTGGAGGACGAGGGTTAGATAACTCGGATCGCATCCAAAGTGTCGACTGCAAATCACAGCGCATTATTTGACCCTCAGTGGGAACGTCTCATGCTTTGACTGTAATGAAGACAGAGGAGGCGGCTTTCACCGACGAACTGTCAACCAGCTTGTCTGTTTGAGAAACTGGCTCAGTGCAGAGAAGTAGACAGGGTTGGGAGAGAGAGAGAGAGAGAGAGAGAGAGAGAGAGAGATTCCAGGTTGTTGTGTTGAGAATATTCAGGAGAATATTTTGTCATTGTTCCGATGATAATAAACAAACATTTGCATAAAGCGTATTTGTCCATTCAGATGTTGATAAGAGTATTAAAAACTTGAAAAATATTCCTCTAAGGTTATGGACATCATGCGATTACATATTTTAATCGACTGACAGCTCTAATTAAAAGTTAGAGAACACTTGTTATAGTCAATCAGTAATACAGCTATAATGACCTTTATAACGATCTCTCTTTACATGATGTCATGTAAACGTATAGATTGTGTCAGTCAACAGTGTGCTGGCATTCAAACATTAACACGGGGAAATAATCAATCAAATAAATAAGTGGGCACAAATTCAATGATTTGATTTTTCTGTAGAACACGTTCGTGTGGCATTAGAGTGTGATTGGCTCTCTAACACTGCAGCTGAATGTTAAACCCCTTAGTAATACTGGGTAATCAATGTCTCCTCTATAGAGCCAGCCACAACTGTCTGGATGTCCGCAAACAGAGAAGAAAAAAGATCAGATATATCTGAATTTCAATCGTTAAACTGAGTGTTTCAGCGATACTTGTTTTTACAAGAACTTGTAGCAACTTGATGTGTTGAATAAAGCAAACCAGTATCAATGAGAGAGAGAGAGAGAGAAAAAAACAGAATAGAAAAGAAACAAGTCTGCTCCCAATAGGAACTTCAGAAACACAGAACATACCTTCTCCATGGTCATCATGTTGATGCCAAAGTGAGCCAGGTGCTCCGGAAGCTTGGAATCCAGAACCATGTCATCCTCATCGTAGGAGTACACATCTGGACATACAAAGACAGAAGAGACAATGAGGGCAATGAAGGCCAAAGCATGAGACAAGTGGACACATTGTAGATAGTCTGTTACATTTTAACACTAGAGATCTGTAATATGATGCCCTTGCCAGTGTTTCCGCCAGACAAGGGCTGAGAGAGCGTCCACCACGAGTGCGGGGGGGGGGGGGGGGGGGACATACACATTTTATTATCCCTTTATAGCTATTAGAAATATATACAATATTATTTTTTTTATGAAATGTGAGAAAACCGTATCAGAAGCCGTACTATCTTAGTGAGCTGGAGGAGCATGTCGGTGTCTGAGTTTTAATATGTTGATTTGATGGCCAGCAGGGGAATGAGAGACAAAGTAAACCCAATCGAACTGTGGTTTATAAGACATGTTCAGACGGTGTGTAGTTTGCAGTAGTAATGAAGAGTCAAGCCCACACCAGCATATAAATGGGCAGGTTTTAGCTGAGCAGCTAATTAGCATGCTTACTGATGTAAAAAGTGCCCTTTTCCATGGTGAATATTTTTGATTGTGCAGGACAACAAGTATTCATGTTATTTTAAAATAAAAATAAACTTTTGCAATTAAGCTAATTTGGGTTTCTGGATTAAGCATTTTTTGGCAGCCTGCTGTCATCAAAACAAAAGTTTGATTGCATGTATGTAAACATCTTCAACACAGTATATAAAAAAAAGCTTTTGAATTTTACTTGAAATGTCTCAGATTTTAACACAAAAAATAATGAATTGAGCTATCTGCTTACCTCCTCCATCGGGAGTGATGGTGCCAAGTTTGACGGCAATAGGGAATCCAGTCTGCTGGAAGTGGAGGAGGGCGTGGTTGTTGCCCCCGGAGCCATCAAAATACCTTCGGCCGCACATCATTTTGCCATCCGTCAGGTTCATCCAAATGTTCTCCTGGAGGTCACACACCTCACACCGCCAGCCACTAGGATGTTCAAGACACAGGTCACAAAAAATGTCTTGCACTGCTTTAAAAATCTTGCAGGCTTCGGCTTATAAAACCAAACAGCTATCTCTATTCTAAATGTTATAACGCAGCAATGGACGAATGCAATAACGGATGCTGAATGCAATAGCATCATTGCCATTTTTTGCACATTCTTCCATCAATTTACAGCAGAGAAATAAGAGAAACATTTGTATAAAGGCACTCAGTTATGAGGAACTGTATGGTAGGTGTTTTGAAGAGACAGCTCTAACGCCTCACCTGGGTGGGATCTTGACTCCGTTGTCAAGCTGTTTCAGTTCGGGGGCGTGCCTTGACTCCTGTCTCAACTCTCCATCCCACTGCTGAACTTGTAAGGCATGAGACACTGAGTCGGCTGACATGATCCCCGCCATTGACAGGGACACCTTGAGGGATGATAGTCAAAAGAAAGACATTAGACCCGACTAATAGCTCGTAATAAAACTTCCAAACTACTTGATCACTGATGGTTTGAAGCACCAGGATGGTTAAGGCAGGTAGGAAGAGTAGTGTGTCTAGAAATTGCACACCTCCTGGCTACCTAGCCTCTTACTGGAGACGACAAGTCAAGCAGGAACAGATGCAGTTCTTCCTTGCATCAAACTCCGCCACTGTCACACCACATGACTGCGCTGGATGCAGATTTAACAACACATCTTGCAGCTGCAAACTCAGCTTTCTATGTCAATATAGCATGACTCTGTTCTCTTTTTTTTGCTTCAATCAATTACATTTACTATCAACACCAATTGGAATTGGATATATACAAAAGTGGCGATTTTTCCCCCTAACTGAATGATAAATATTTATCTTGCTAGAAAAAGACAAAATATATCTCACCCGCTCTCTCACAACGTCAGGCATGGTTGCAAGGTCGTCTGATGTCACTTCCTGTCTGTCAGGTAAAATTACCACCTTATAGTCCTCCTCATACAGCTCCTGCTCCACATCGAACCCTCCTTCAATCCCTGGAAAGACAAAACAATATGATGGTTACACAACTCAGTCTCAAAAGAAGACATTTAATGTATTTGTGTTTATGTAAAAATGCTCTCATACACTAACCTATAGCCAGTCTGGTGGGCTTTTTCTTGGGCGGGTGTCCAGATCCAGAGTTACTGTCATCTTCCTTTTGTGGGAATGACAAAATGTATCAATGGTTGTAAGTTGAGTTCACTTGACGTGTTAAGAGATGGTGTGGATGGTGTCAAAACTTTTACATTTAATTGACTGGTCTATTGATTGGTCTGGACAGGAAAATAAATCCACCTTAGCTTTGCGAGTCCGGGTGATGTGAAAGTAAGCCCTCTGGCCAGTCCGGGCATGGTGCCGTTCCACATACTGCCTCCCAAAGCCAAGGAAACTGTTCATGCACACATACAGGCCTCCTTCGCTTTCCTGCAAAAGAAAACAATGTTAAATGTCACAACCTGTGGTGATGTCTTTACATTGTGACACAACAATGGGAAGTTGAAGATGAAGGAATGTGGATGTCTTACCCATCTCACATCACTCACAAATTGTTAGAAAATTAGCTCTACATTGAGATTCAAGATTCAAAGGCTTAATTGTCATATGCACAGGAGCTACAGTGTAGTTAAGGCAATGAAAACTCCAACAATGCAACATCAATATTTATATAATATTTTTTATTTAGAAAAAAAACAATATTACAGTGCAAGAAGAAACAGAGTCAAAATAACATTTGGAAGGATTGTGTTTCAAGAAGAATGTTCAAGTAATGTCGAAAAAAACAACTAGCCTATACACGTCAAATAAAATACAATGAGCTAAATGTTGCAGAGAATGTTGCATGTGGCCCAGTAAGTGCAGAAGCCTACATGTAAATAGAAAATGATAAACAAAGACAGAATGTAATATTAAAGTGGAATACATACTGGTTATTGTATTAATAAATAAAAGGTGTGTGAATTGAACCTGCACATTTTTGCAATTGAGCCCAACACGGGTTTAATTATATCAAATTCCACAAACAACTGTAACCTAAAATGTGGAAATACTATATGCTATGAAAAGCTAAAAAGATATTTACTATCCTGCTAAAGTTGTGACCATAAAGCGACTCAGTTAGCTTGATAGCTAGTTTGACAGCAGTTGCACTGACATAGCTAGCTAACTAGCTATAGCAGCTAAGTTTCCATTACAGTGCAGTATTAGCTTAGCTTGACGCTAGCATGCTCGTTGGTCTAAACAGGAACATATAGGAAGCCAGCGCGTTAAAGTAGGACAGCCCTGACACACCGTTGCATTAGATAAACACATCAGGGAGTGAAGGGGAATGAGAAATGAAACAATACGGTTTATTAGTTGACGTTTTGATTTGTAAAAGGGGAAAATGGCTCACCGGAGAGGAAAATGACAAGGCGCATTCGTCTTTGTGGACACGGTCCCCGGGCTTCGGAACCCGAATTGTGGACAAAACCGACATCAAAACCTCCCCAACATCCGCCATGACAAGATAGCTAGTTCCGCCTTTCTAGTGGGAAACTTGTTCCTTTGAGTTTGGACCCCCAGCCTCTTGATTTCCCGGCTCGGATAGTGTATGTTGTCTAGCCCGTCTTGTGGTGTCTGTGTTTGGCTGAATGAATCATGAGATGCTGCCTTGTGTTGAGCGAAGGCCGAAAGAACTCAGTTGCCCGCACACCATTACCGTAATGCTTAGCATATAGGCAACGTCGTGATTTTCTAATACAGTATTCGCATCACATCTAGAAAAGCAGAGTCGCTGCTTACATGTAAGCCTACGTCTGTGTATGAAGAGTCAGTTCATTAATTGAGTAGTAGTATATATTATGCTTGTCTTTTTTCATCTTGAAGAGCATCAATTGTCGCATGAGATGTACAATATAAATAAACTTTGTGTGACTCGTATTTGTGTATTTACGGTAAAGTCCATTGATGTCAACCAACTGCTTCCTCTCGCGGCCACAAAGACTAACTGCAACTTAACGTTCCTGAAAGTTAACGTAAACCCCTTAAAGACATCGTTGGGCGCTACAATGACCTCAAAACAAGTAAAAACGTTACATTTAGTTTGAATTAAACACAATAATTGAACAGCAGGAGACGTTAACTTTGTATAGTAGTAGATACATCATGTGAAATTATACTGAAAGCAAATACTTTTCCACAAACAGGAGGAAACTTTCTCCCCAGTATTTCCATAGTCCCTCCTCTTCTCCTTCTCGGGGTTTCTTGGAACCATGGCGCTGCTGCAGGCTGACCATCTCACTGTATACGTGGCGTTTCATTTTGTTTTAATAACATTACTTAGTTTCACCTCGGCGACCCCGGGTAGAGGCAGCGCTAATGTATTGTCTCTGCCGCAGCCGTACGACTTCTTGTATTACACCGGGGTACGGTCGTATTTCGGTGAGGAGTGGGTGAAGGCAGCGGAGCTTCTGGAGAAAGCCATCCTGACCAAGGAGTCCCTTTCCCGGGTACGCAGGCAGTGTCATGAGGAGTGTGTGGAGGCAGGGAGAGAAGCATTCAACAGACTGGGTAAGGTACAATTTATATACTCAAATAATTGTACATTCAAAGGTATTGTCAAAAGCGTAACAAAGTATTTTTTGCAGCCTAATATACACCATTTTGCATATTAATTCGTCTTAAATACGTGCACATTTTTACAAAATTGTATATGCATATTGTTTTTTTGTTTGAAAAAACATATTTTAATTGCACATTTTTAAAATAACTTCTTATGTTTGCATACATATTTAATTCTACTATATTCTTTAATCACACTGTTGTATTTCACATGTTTACTCTACTTTAACTTCCTATGTTTACATGTATATAAATATTTTGGATTTAATTGTATATAAAAATGGTGCAACCCAATTTCACCCCGTAATAAATAAAGTATGAGGATTGTGATAACTCTGGGAGTCCCAGACTCCTCCAACAATGCAACAATCCATATACTTTATTCATAAAATAATAAATAAAGTATTGCAGTAAAACATTGCAATAGACATAAATATATAAGTAAGCTGCAGGAATATGAACAATATATACTGTACATATACAAATATATACATTTCTCTGTTTGTAAGGAGAGGAAATCTGTGTCACTTCTTAAAATATGTCTTCATTCGGGAATTTAATAATTACGAGAAAAAAGATTTCCATTTTTACCAGAAAATCGTTCTTTTCATTTCAACCTCTTTTATTTAGTTAGGTTTAACGTGCATACATGTATAAACTCAAATTGTGGACGATGCATACACTATTTCTATCATTTAGAAATGACTATCTTTGGTATAATGGATGGACAATGTTGCATGGTACAGCATATTTCACTTTAAGAAATAACTAATGTTTTCTGTGTTGTTAGACTCTGAGCAGGGGAGTCTGCATGATCTGTGGACCTTGGACTGGGTTCAGCAGAGAGCTGAATGTCTGCGGTTCTGTGTCGGACGCTCGGTGTCACCTGCAGCACAACTCCCCGTTTCTACCGACATAGATTATGAATTTGGATCTCGTAACCCCTACAACTTCCTGCAGGTCACTTACTACAAGGTAGAGATCTATGATGTACTAATAGTTGTTCATTTCTCATGATACAGCTCAAAGTCTTAGCTGGGTTTGTTGAACGTAATTGACTCTCTTTCTGCTTTGAAGTTGGAAAAGTTGCAGAAAGCGGCGTCTGCAGCTCATACCTATTTTGTGGCCAACCCCAGTCACTTGGAGATGAGGAACAACATAGAGAAGTACAGACGGATGGAGGGAGTGACGGAGGAGGCCTTCCAGGACAGAGAGCTGGAGAATGAGAATCATTGGGTGAGGAAAGATGGAGGATAACATTTTTTAAAGGAGAGAAGAATAAAGAGTTTCTGTATGTTTTTGTAAAACTGCAACGGTTATATTTCCATACACGTAATCTAATTTCATGTCCATGCACTACACTGTTTTTCCTGTTCATTTACAAAACTAAATATGGGTAAAGTAGAGCTCAGAATTTAGGTAAAAATCTGAAGATCAATTTTCTAAGCCTGATCTAAATATGTTTGATCTCCTTTTGTTTTTGACTTAAGGTTGAAAAAAGTTTTCCGGCATATATTTTATAAGAAACACATCTTTCCATCTGTATTATTAGATTTTTTCACAATCATTTTTGTTGGGTGTTGTTGCAATACACATGTTGGCCACAAGAGGCTGCATATCACCACGAACCAATGTTCTCAATAGGACTAAAAGCAATCGTGTGTAAAGAAATGACAGTAACTCATATGGAATAAATCATAGTCGCCACTTCAGCCTCTTTGGGCCAAAACAAGTATTACCATAACAACAAAAACAAAAAATTCACCTGCCAAAACTTTAGGCAAGGAGTCCATCATAGAATTATATATATGTTCATCATTTTATTTGGATATTTGAAATATTTTCAAAGTGGAAAGACAGCCCTGGCCTGAGGGCCTGGATTCCTCTCTCTCACCTTCACTCTCTCTTATATAACCATCTCATCTAACCCTGGATGTATTTATTCTGCCTGATCAACTTATTTGTCTGTTTGGACACACTTGTTATAACAGGATAAGGCTTGTTTGAAATGGGCTTGAATTATCCGTGTTATAGCATGCCTCCCAATGTTTCCACTCTGAACAGATCATGTCTAAGTTTTTACTATTATTTCATTATATCAAAAGCATCATATTCATCTTGAATACACTTTTATTTCTCTCCCTTTTCTCGTCTTTAAACCCAGGTCCTGTATGATTCTGCAGTTCAGTACGAGGCCTCCTCTGACTGGCTGAAAGCTGCAGAGAAATGGAAAGAGTGTGTGAATGAAACGCTGCGGCAGACAGACGAGTGCCGGCTGCAGTGTGAGATGGCCTCCCAACGGCTGCCAGAGGACAGGGGGGTGGACGGTAGTAGGAGCGTTTATGAGCAGGCTGCAGGTAAACAACAACAACAACAACAACAAAAGACACCTAGGCCCTTTCTCATTTCTCTAACTCCCCTCCTCGACTCCCCTCTTCGACTACCCTCCGCGACTCCTATCCTCGAGACTTAGTCCCGCCCACAGGAGATGCAAGCGGAGGAACCGAGGAGAGAGGAGGGGAAGCAGCAGGCGGTTAGAGAAATGAGAACTCCTCTCCTCTGAGCGGTCATTTTAAAGAGACGTCCATTAATGATGACAGGAGGCACAGCAGCCCTCTGTCTGATGGACAGATGTGTTCATGACCACTTATATATTTACTTTGAATTCATTCACAGTGCGGTATAATGAGACAATAACAGGCTACAGATGCGGACACACACACACACACACACACACACACACAAACACACACACTTACAAACACACATAATTACGTAACACTATCAGAGACTGGATATATCCCCCCACTATCAGCAGGACTGGTGATACCCCCCCCCCTCTCCCCTCTATGGTCGCTACAATGAGGAAAATAAATTACGGGCCAAAAGTTTTATTTACAAGTATTAAAGGTCCCATTTCATGGCCATTTCCACTGATCATAATTCCATTGTTGAGGTCTACTAGAATAGATTTATATTGTGCAATTTTCCAAAATCACTTTGGTTTCTCAAACAGCATCTCTGTAAACTACGTGTATTCACTGAATTTCACTCTCTGCCTTTAACGGCTCGTTGTAGCTCCAATAGCTCCAGCCCCCACCCTCCCTGTGAGCACAGTGTGCTCTGATTGGTCGGGAAGCTCCGTGGAGGTGTGGTTTCCTTGTTTAGTGATACACAGCCAAACTCACCCTGAGCCAGAGTCCTGCACGGGTCTGATTTTCAAGACCCGCTCCCGCCCCGCACCCGCGACGTGCAATACCGAACCCGCCCCGCTACCCGCACATATTACCAATTAGTTCCGCAACCTGACCCGACCGTCGGCACAGGATCCGCAACCCGACCCGAACCAGCATATATATATGAGCAGTGAAAACGTGCAATTATTAACACACGCAGTTGCATATTTCTCTCAAAAAGCGTGGGATGTTGGTTATTCTCTCCATCTAGGAGGACACCAAAAGCCTCCCAGACGTTGGATTTCGCTCTTGAGGAAGTGTTGGAAAATGCTGTATTCTCCGCTAGAGAGCTTCACCTCAGCCATTCAGAATGTGGCGCGCTCAGAAGCAGATGATGCGCTGCAGAGGTTATGATTATGCACGGTCCCGCGGGGNAACGCCAGTGCTTTAGACGGTCGTTTTTTGTTTACAGTAACCCACTGCACAACCTATCCAGATTACTGTAAGTAAGGACCACACTGAAATTATGCAGTTTCACATTTTTGAATCTGCTCAGCATCCGATTATTTTGGGTTTTCCGTTGCTAAAAATCCACAACCCACACATTGACTCAGGGGAAATTAAGGAGTGGGGAGAGGATTGCATTAACAGGTGTAAACTAGATCCTCCAGAAAAACGCGATTCTGCG